GTAGAGAAGGCTTCCATTGGAATGATACTTATTATAGTCTGTGTCCACTGGCTTAAGGATGGAACTCTATCAGAAATCCACAACACCATAATACACTTTCGAGCGCAGTGTAACAATATATGTAAAAGATCCCTGTTACGAAAGTTATCTGGCAGCTCATCATTCAGACCCAGTAGACACGTTCTTGCACCCAATTGCAGTTGGTACCTAAATATTAAACGTAACTTGTCTATAACAGATTCCCAGAATTGCAGAATATGAGGACAACTCCACAGGCAATGAAACAAAGAACCAACAGCAGACTGACATTTGTTACAAAGGTTTGATAACGCTGGAAACATTTTATGTCTCTTCTCAGGTGTGATATATATTCTATGTAGGATTTTGAATTGTCTCTCCCAAGTAGAATTCGATGCTAACGCCTTGAAGGGTCGGCTACACAACTCATCCCAGGCCACATCCTCTATAGGGCCTAAATCCACTTCCCACAGGGCCTTAACTTTGTTGGAGTTATCAGTTTTAAGATCACCTAAGATATTATAAATCTTTTTAGTTATACCTTTAAGCTGCGTGGTCTTTAACATCAGCGATTCAATAGGAGAGACAGCCAATCCCCCACTATACTTTCTCAATTTAGAACTGATGAAGCTCTTTACTTGGATGTACTTCAAGAAATCCTTATTGGTAAGACCATACTTAACTCTCATCTGATTAAATTTAAGAAGTGAGCCCTCATGAACCAGGTCACCAACCTTTTTAATCCCTTTTATAGACCAGTCTGCGAAACCACCTTCAAGACCAGGAGAAAAGTCTGGGTTTTCTTGAATAGGAGTGAGAAGGGAAAAGCAGTTACTGTATCCTTCCAACCGCCTGACCCTACGCCAGATAGCAATCATATTCTTTAAAAGCATATTGTTTTGAATTAGTGCTGAGGATTTCTCAGTGGATGTGTACAGTAAGTTCCGCAAAGGAATGCCCTTTAATGGGGTGGCCTCAGCGCTCAGATAAATGGATTCAGGGTCACTGATAAACCATTCCATAAGGAATTTAAACTGTGCTGCCCAAAGGTATAACGAAAGGGAAGGAGCGGCAAGACCACCCTTCCGTACAGGTAAGCAAAGATAACTATACCTTAATCTGGGAATTTTCTTATTCCAAATAAATGAGATAATTGAACCATTCAATTGTGACAAGACCCTTTTAGACAGAACAAGAGGCAACATCTGAAATAGGTACAGAAGGCGAGGTAGAATGTTCATTTTGACCAAGTGTATACGACCCAAAAGAGACAAAGGGAGGCTGCACCATCTTTCTAAATCTCGATTGATTGATTGCACTAAGGGAGTATAGTTCAGATTGAATAGATCTTTTAGGTGGGGTGATATTTTTATTCCTAAATAAGTGAAACCTGACGGGGACCATCGAAAAGGCTGAGAAATATTTGAGTCAACCCCATGTATAACAGAAATAGGCATAGCCTCGCTTTTAGAAAAATTTATCTTATAGCCGGAGAAAGAGCCATAATGTAAAACCAGTTCAATAATTTTAGGAATCGAGTGTGATGGGGAGTTTAGAAAAATCAATACATCATCAGCGTAGAGTGAAATTTTATGCTGATAATTATTTAAAAAGAGTCCTTCGATACTTGCATCTTGTCTAATTGCTGCTGCGAGGGGCTCCATAGCCAGAGCAAATAACAGAGGGCTCAAAGGGCATCCCTGCCGACTACCACGACCAATACTAAAATTCTCTGATCTGAGACCATTAGTAATAACAGCCGAAAGAGGAGACATGTATAAAATCTGTATCCATTTCACAAAGTCCTCACCTAAACCAAATTGTTTAAGTGTAAAAAAGAGATATGGCCATTCTAAGCGGTCGAAGGCTTTCTCAGCATCAAGAGAAATAAGTAGAGCCTCCGGACTAAACTGGGATGAATGCTGGATTATGTTAAGCAGACGCCTGACATTGTGTGTAGAATATCGCCCTTGTATGAACCCGGTTTGGTCATTCTTAACAATAGAGGGCAGCATACTCTCTAAACGTATGGCCAGGATCTTAGATAGTATTTTCAGGTCAAGGTTTAAAACCGATATAGGTCTGTAAGAGGCACAGTCTTCCGGGGGTTTCCCTTTTTTCAAAACTAATGAGATATTAGCCTCCATTAAGGATGGAGGAAGAGAACCAACAACATATGAGGATTGAAACATTTCAGATAGTGGCGAGATTAGAATTTTACTAAATTTTTTATAAAATTCCCCGCTAAACCCATCAGGACCGGGAGCTTTGTTATTTGGAAGTAGTTGAATTATTTTCAAAATTTCACTCTGTGTTATAGGCCTGCATAGGTCATCCCTCTGGGTTTCCGTAATTTTAGGTAGGATTAGTCTTGAAAAAAAGTTTTGCATATCCTGTATGTGTAAGGATTTAAACTGAGAGGCATATAACTGCTTATAAAAAGATTTAAACGTGTTATTAATTTCTGTAACGTCATATTTAAGGAATCCAGAAGAATCTTTAACACACGGGATATTGCGAGAAGATGTCTTATTCCGAAGGAGATTAGCTAGGTAGCGATTTGGTTTGTTGGCAAATTCATGCAGCCTTTGCCTCATAAAAAACATAGATTTCTCAGCCCTTTTCGTTAGCAGCCCCTCCAAAGAGGTTTTGACCACCTGGATTTCATTCCCTAGTTGTTCAGAGGGTGAGGCATTGTATCTAATCTGGAGATCATGCAGCACCAGTTCTAACTTTCTTTGCTCCATCTGATTTTTCTTCTTTAGGCCTGCAGAATATGATATAATTAGTCCGCGAGTATAAGCTTTCAAAGTGTCCCACAGTAGACCGGGAGAAACGTCAGGGGTTGCATTTATCTTTAGAAAGTGCTCCAGCTGCTCATTTAAGAATTTCTCAAATTTAGGGTTGTGGATCAAAAAATTATTAAATCTCCAAGTCCGATACACAGGGGCAGCATTCAGATGATTTAACTGTATATAAACAGGTGCGTGGTCTGATATAAGAATATCTCCAATTCTACAACTACTAATATTACCCAGTGACCGTTTGGGAGTGAAAATCAGATCAATTCTGCTACTTGTTTTATGAACCCCTGAGAAGAATGTAAACTCTTTATCATTAGGGTGAAGTACCCGCCAGGTGTCAACAAGATCAAGTTCGTTACAGGTGTCCAAAAGTGCTTTGGCCCTTTTAGGAATTTGAGACTGTCTAGATGGAGATTTGTCCATAATTGAGGAGAGATAACAGTTAAAATCTCCCGCTATCACTGAGTTGTCACAAACCCAATCCGAAAAGGAGGAAAAAGCCTGAGTAATAAAGTCATTAGACTGTACTGGTGGAAAGTAAATATTCAGAAATGACACTGACTGGCCATGTAAGGTGCCCTTTAAAGATATGTATCTACCAGACTTATCACTAATTGTTTGGGCATTCATCAGTGGCAGGTGCTTATGTATTAGAATAGCCACCCCCCGACTCTTACTCGTAAAAGAAGAACTAAACACCTGACCGACCCAATCCCGTTTTAATTTAAGGTGCTCCTGAGAAGTCAGGTGGGTCTCCTGCAACAAAGCCACATGCACCTTTTCCTTCTTAAGAAAGCTCAGAATCTTTCTCCGTTTGATAGGGTTGTGTATACCTCCCACATTCCAAGTACAAACGTTCAACTCTGAGTTATCATTAATCATTCTGTATTAAGTGTAAACGCTGATACAAACCTGAGTGACGATAGCCATGGTACAGACATTTTGGGCTCAAGAGAGAATGAAAAATAAAAAAAAATAAAAATAAAATAAAATAAAAAAAATAAGGGGGGCAGAAAACTAAAGCACAGGTTGTAAGGAAGATGCACGTAAAATAGGAGAAACCAACAACCTGCTTTGCTATAAGAATTAACACAATAGTATTTACAAAGGATATGAACTTCAAAAGGTAAAGGAACATAGAGGTCAGACGAAGGTCTCCGACACCCAACATGGGGCGCAAGCAAACTTTCCAACTGGAACAGAGGAAGATGCTGGACCAGGGTAAAAGTATTTTCTCCAAAATCAGTAACATGGAAATAGCTGCCAACCCGCAGCTTTATCAAAGTAGCATTCTATATAATGGGCCTATAAAAAAAAGTAAGCATCTCAGCTATAGAAAAGTAGGCATATGTCAATAATAATAACAACTCAGCAGTCTTTGTCAATTACCTTACATTGTGAACCAAAACCAGGATTGCTGAGACCCATTCAAGCAACATATCCAGAATCCATCAGTCAGCCCCTGCTACTGAGGGAGATCCCGCATTTTGTGAAGATTTATCCAAGTAGGCTGCAACAGCTCCCGGTGCTCTGAAAGATCTCTCCACGCCGTTGTGCTTAATCCTGAGGACGGCCGGGTACATCATGGCGAATGAAATCCCCATCTCTCTCAGACGTTGTTTCACGTGGTAGAATCCCTGCCGCTTCTTTACGACCGCAGCTGAGAAATCCTCGAATATCATGATGGGGGCGCCTTTGTAGATTAAAGACTGCATCCTTCTGGCTGCTTGCATGATCCGAACTTTATCCTGGAAATAATGGAGCTTTATAACGACTGCACGGGGCCGTTGCCCCGGGGGAGGAGGGCGAGCGAGCGTGCGGTGACAGCGGTCAATTTCAACGGCATCATCCTTGAAACTCACGCCCACCAACTGCGGTAACCAAGTCTTAAAAAATAACACTGGGTTGGTACCTTCGCTGCCTTCGGGAAGCCCAATAATGCGTATATTGCACCGACGGCTCCTGTTCTCCAAATCATCAATCTTGTCCAAAGCAACTTCTAGCTTGAGCTCAACTTCAGAGAGTTTAGCATGGTGATTAGCCATAGCATCCTCCTGGGTTGATATGCGCCCCTCGGCCTCTTTCATTTTTGCGTCCAACGTGGCTATATTAGATGCAAATGTTTCCAGTCTTTGCAAAACGGGGTCGATCTTCCTTTCAAACGAGGCTTCTACACCTTTCAGCACCTCCGCGGTTATCCTTTCCACCAACCTGTCGGTGTCCACTTGGCCGGGGTGTGAAGAGGACGGAGCGTCCGCCATTACAGGAGAAGCGCCGTCACTCGGGGGGGGCTGTTTTTCTCCGGCTTTGACCGATTTAGTTGCAAGGTTGAGCTTTTTCTGAGTGCTAGGCATCATGCAACAATTAAAATCTGAGATATACGCTAACTTTGATCAAAATATACCCAAACCAAAACCTAAACAGATGCCAAACTGCGGGAGCGCACGGAAAACACAGCTACTCCGCCATCAGCGTCACGTGACCTTGCGTAGCCATGGTTACGGTGACGACTCACTTCGGTGCGCGCGGGGTATCATGGGAAATGTAGGGCTGGTGACGGAAGCTAAGAGATGACTGTTTACGTAAAAACAAAACGATTTCTCATTAATATCTACTGAATATCGATGTTAAATTGTTAAACTGTTTGACTCACTGCCATTTTTTCGTCTTCTCTTCATCTCCCAGACGTTCTTATCATAATTTAAAGAGGTTTATAGCAAAGAGTTTGGGCATGTTCAACTCTTACTTTCAGTTAGGTACCTAAAGGTTCTTTATTATCAAGTTAGTCAAACGTAGATATAGTTTAACTTATTAGAGAATATGTTACTCCAAATATTTAAAATAACAAAATTTGCTATAAACTATTGTTAATCAAAACATGTAATTAAACAAAAATGGCACCATTAGAAATCAGATAAAAAATACCTCAGCTGGAGGAATGTATTTACTTTCTGTTAAGCCTTTCATTCATGCTGGAAAAAGGCCCCTAACTCAAGGGATGAGTGCTGTGTCCAACTCAACCAAGCATCATTTGAAAGAGGATATTTAGGCTCTTTAGCATCTTTAACTTTTTTACTTTATTTTCATCTGAGCTCTTCTCTATTGTTCACACAAATTCTTCTGATATGTAATATAACAACGTTGTCCCTTCAGGAGGACAGTGAGCTCTCTGGTGGTTATTACAAGCCCACAATAAGTCTCTAATTTCGATATGAAGTCAGAATCTCACCTTTGGTCCTTAAACTCCATGTTTGGACGTGGAAAAATCAGCATGTGGACGACGTAGGGCTGGAATGTCTTTATTAAATCATCATCAGGTACAACTTCCAGCTGAATCCAGCATATTAAATCTATTGAACAGTTCTGATCAAAACTACTTCCCAAGAGGGGATTTTATTGATTAGAAAGAAACCATCCCCTGATTCATTGTAGTAGAACTTTAAATGAAAATTCAAACATAGAAACAAAAGTAATTCGTTCAAATATCACGTGTTGCTAAACATACATTGATAATTATCAATAATATTTAAAGTGAAAATAACTGAAATAGTATGTCCCCTTTGTGGCATATCTCCTCATTCCCAATTATATGAAATATATAGTAGAGTAAAACATGTGAATGCTGACCTTGTGCTGTCAGGATAAAAGGTTCTGGACCATCTAAGGCACACGTCCAATACCTGAGCAGGTCATGGATATAAACGCATCACAGCAACAAGAAAAACAAAAAATCTAAACCTTTACACCATCTAATATGTGAATAATGGAAAATAAAATGAACCAACAGCACAAAATGTTTTCTATCTGGCAGGGACTCTAACGATAACCTGTTCAGGATGATGCAACACTTGTCGTGTCTAATTTTGGGCCTTTTTTAAATCACTTGCTGTTTTTAAAGAACTTCTTTGCTTTTTCGCTGAAATTCTGAAGTCCATATCTCAGACCTGCCATAACTCCTTCATCCATTCTGCTCTTCAGCTCTTCCATTTTCTTGACCTTCTCTGTGTCTCGTCTTTCCTTCATCACCTTAATCAGGCAGTCTAAGTTGATGAAAGTGAACACTGAGTCCACTTTAAGTGCAATGTGCTCCAGTTTGACTATATGTTGGTAGGCTTCATCCAGAAGGCTGTTTTTGTCCTCCTCCAGTTTTTCTTTATCACTTTGGAGTTTCTCAAGAAGACTCTCATTTTCCATTTTACCAGTTTCATAGATGTTTTTCAGCTCCTCAATAGTCTTCTTAACTCTCCTTGTCTTGATCACATATTTCCATTTTTCTTTAACGTGATCTGATGCATGACACTTGTTGGTACAAACGGTGCAGCGGCCCTTTTTCATGACCTTACAGTGGGATGGATACCAGGCCAGCGTGCATCCAGGATAGTGACAGTTCTCCTCACAGACGTTACAGGTCACTGCTCCACCAAACATGAAGAACGACCACCCACCATCAATATTTTCCTTTACCTTGTGGGGCTCATCAACCTCCACTATGAAACTCTTGTTTTCTAACTGATCTTTGTGTTCCTTCAGAATTTTCAGAGTTTGTTCTATTTCTGTTGTTTTATGCTGAAGTAAGTCCATTTTGTCTATCAAATTGTTAACACAGGCTCCCAGTTGGATCCTCTCAGTCAGGACTCTCACAGCTGAATCCAGCTTTTGGGGGGTAGATTTACCTAGAAAATCAGAGAATTTGCTCATTCCTCTCAGTGTAACTATCCAGGCTTGTGCCAATCCAAACTCAGTTTCCTCTGTAATTTCTGTGCTCAGGCAGTTGTCAAACAAAAAGTGAACTGGCTGATCTTTCTCATTTTTAGCACATTTAATGTTTGCTGCTTCCAGAGCTTGAAGGGCATTTTTTGGTGGCATTCCATTTGAGTGTGTGATGAGCACCACAATCTTTTGCTCCATATCTTTTCCAAACAGAGACATCACTGACTGGAAGCTGTAGCTCAGTCTGTCACTCAGTCGGTTTTCAGACGCCTTCAGCACCAAACCCACGGCGTCAACTTCATGAACTCCGTCCTCTGATAGAAACAGGTCATGTAAGTTTCTACTGACCATGGCGTCGTGTTGGATCCCTCTGGTGTCTCCGTATCCAGGAGTATCGATGAGGGTCAGAGAGTAGGGCAGAGTTTTACCTTCAAAGCCAAAGATCTGGTAGACTGAAACCTTTATTGTCTTACTGTGTGATAACTTTGTTTTTATGTCGTCTACTATCTCAAACCATTTTTTGTCTTCCTGTTTCACCCCCATTGCGAAGTTTAGAAGACTGTTGATGAGGGCAGATTTTCCTGAGCCGGTCTCTCCAACAAGCAGGATGGTTCTATTCGGCTTGCTGGGATCTTTTGTACCAAGTGTGCATATTCTGAGCTTTGAATCATCCCCCTCTCCGTCCAGGTTCCTCACATCTAGTCTAAGCCGATAACGTGTAGGAGGCCCCTTATCAATGACAGCATTGTTGTGAATGAAATCACTGAATGTCTGGTGTCTGTGGAAGAACAAGTCAGAAAGAAAATAAGGACTAGGGAACATTTAGACATTTTCAGACAATTTGAATAATGATAATAAACATATTTTTGTATTAATTTATTGTAAAAGGGACATCGCACATTAATAGAATTGGTGAACCCAAATAATGTTCCAGATTTATTTATTAGGCTCATTTAAGTTCATTAAGTTAATTTACAGCTGGCGATGTAAGCAGGCTGATGGAAAATAACAAAAACAAAGTTATCAAAAGAAAACAGCCAACCAAAGGTCATTAGGAGACATGACATGTAAATCTGTGTATTATCAGCATAGCAGATGATATCCCCAAAGGGAAGCATCATCAGATTAAAAAGAATCGGGCCTAAAGCTGAACCCTGGGGAACCCCACACACAATTTCATGGATTCCTGAGGAGCATGTTTCCATACTTATGAAAAGTCATCGATCCGTTAAAACCAGGTCAGAACAGCCCCACTGAGGCTCACCAGAATTCTCTGTCTGTACAATAAAATATGTTTGACAAAATCCATCCATCCATTATCAATACCGCTTGTTCCCTGATGGGGTCGCGGGGGGAACTGGAGCCTATCCCAGTGGTCAACGGGCAAGAGGCAGGGTACACCCTGGACAATCCGCCAGTCCATCGCAGGGCCATACACAGGACATACAAGGACAAACCACTCACACTCACATTCACTCCTAAGGGCAATTTCCCCAATCTCCAACCAACCTAACACGCAGGTTTTTGGACTGTGGGAGGAAGCCAGAGAACCCGGAGAGAACCCACGCAGGTACAGGGAGAACATGCAAACTCCACCCAGAAAGGTCCTGGTTCCCCTGGGATTCGAACCCAGAACCCTCTTGCTGGAAGGCGACAGTGCTAACCACCACACCACCGTGCCGCCCATGTTTGAGAAAATAGTAGATTTAAAGGAACCACAATGTCAGTGGCTGACTTCAGATTTCTGTTTAATTGATCAACAATAAAACCACATGACTCTGGCAGAGGGCGGCACGGTGGTGTGGTGGTTAGCACTGTCGCCTCCCAGCAAGAGGGTTCTGGGTTGGAGTCCCGGGGGAACCAGGACCAGAGGGTTGTGGGTTGGAGTCCCGGGGGAACCAGGACCAGAGGGTTCTGGGTTGGAGTCCCGGGGGGAACCAGGACCTTTCTGGGTGGGGTCTGCATGTTCTCCCTGTACCTGCGTGGGTTCTCTCCGGGTTCTCCGGCTTCCTCCCACAGTCCAAAACCTGCGTGTTAGGTTGGTTGGAGATTGGGGAAATTGCCCTTAGGAGTGAGTGTGAGTGTGCGTGGTTGTTTTGTCCTCTGTGTGATTGTGGCATTGATAATGGATGGATGGATGGACTCTGGTAGAATCTGAGCAGGAGTCTGGTTTAAAATATTGGTAAACATCAGTGGCGGCTGGCCCATAGGGGGCGCTGCCCCCCCTACATGTGGAGGGGAAAAGCCATAATATATATATATATTTTAAAAGTATTTACTTAATATTATGTGAATACATGTAATATGAATTATTAATACAACACTTCCACCAATTTACTCTCATTTCCACCCACAGAATGTATAGTTTCTCTTCAGGGGCGCTAGCCCCAAGCGCCCCTGAGGTGCGGCGAAATAACCAATTGAATAATGTTGCTAGGGAAGATTAATAAATATTTTGCCAATCAGCATCGCCCAAATTAATGGCTTTGGGGCGCTTGGAGCTGTTACAGTGATACAGGTCATATAGCTAGTGACGTAGAGATGATGAAGAGCAGCTTTCACAATTCAGTGAGATCTTTAGTGAAATCTTTACCCTTTCGTGAGAACGACAATGGTGAAAAAAAACCATGTAAAAGAGCTGGGACCTGACAGCCCTAAATACATTCAACGTAGCGAACCAATGAAAAAGCTAAGTCCAACAGCCGGCCTTTTAGCAGGAGCTGGTTCCAGCGTAAGTCCTGGCTGACAGCCTGTGGGACGGCCATGCACTTTTTTGTTTTCCCTGCATCCTTTTTAAAAGTGACGGGAGTGATTTGATGTTGACACAGTCTGGACAGACTTAAAACACCTCTCTGAACAACTAAGAAACATGAAAAATCACTAGTTTACATGGAAAACCGTGTTAAGCTAACTGTGTTAAGCTAACCGTGTTAAACTAACCATGTGTGTGCCTATATTGTATGTTTGGTGAAAAATAGTGAAACTGAGTGTTGTATTTCATACTGTTCCTTTCCAAAATGAGTCCTAATATAGCTTTAAATGGTTAACTGTGTATGTAAACTGATGATTCTGAGAAGGGAATTAAATGCTTATTGTAGAATTGTAGTAATTTTCCGACTTTTAACTTGAATGCATGTACTGGGTTAGGCAGGGAAATCTATTGGCACACCAGCCCCACCAAGATTTTTTTTCACCAGCCGCTTCTGGTAACACCTCCCTGAAGAAGTGGGCGGATTGCCTGTGTCTCATTTGCACTCCAAAGCGAGCGCTCTGAACGGAGCTGTTTTGGCAGGGGGACTGAACTGCTATTGGGCTTCATCCTTATGGGATTCTGACCAAAGCTTGTCACAGACATTACATTAGGACACCAGGGAACTAGCTTAAGGGTTGAACTTCAAAATAAAACACTCAAAACCCAATAGAACTAAAATACAGAAAAGACAAGAAACGGTTTAAACTCAACAAAGGAACAGAAAAATGGCCAAAATCCACAAAAAGCAGCTTTTAGTTCGAAGCCTAACACAGACCTGGCAACAGTAATTTGGGTTTCAGGTAATAGTAAGGAAGTAATTATCTAAAATAATGGATCCGAATAACTGAAATCATTCAGTGTGTGAAAGCCTCAGACGGTACTCACTGTGCCATGCTGTTCCCCTCTGAGGACGGAGCTGCTGCTTCAGGTCTGCGGGCACATAAACACCTCAGATTCTGACAGCATTTGCTCAATATTTCAGACTGTTTTGGTTCTCTGAAGTTATTCAATATTAAACTGAGCTACAGCTTTTTCCTAAACAGCACGAAGAACTTAAGATCAATCTGAATTAGTTATTCTGCTCCCTGATGTGTTTTCTCATAAAATACGAAGCTGTAAGACTAAAAGCTGGACTCCTTCTTACCTTTGCTGCTACCTGTCGTGTCTGTGTACGGGAACTGAGCTCAGCCTGTTATACAGGCTCCATTCAGGGATCACATGACTTCTCGGAAACCTTCCTCGTTACAGAAATGGGCTGGACCATCAGGACAGGAAAGATTAAAGTTTGTTTTCAAATGATAAAAACTTTCAATTCAAAGACAAGAGACTGAAAATTACAAAAAAAGGACGGAAAAGAGGTTTTCTGTTGGTACCTTTGTAGGAAAAAGGTTTTGTAAAGGTTGCATGGAGGAAATTGCAGCCATGGCTCTGTGTGTAATGCTACTCTTATATTGTTTATTTGGGGGCCTCCCTATTACTCTTCGCCATATTTATTCTGACGGGCAGTAGGTGGCCCCCCTCAAAATTTCTTCTGAAATTTTCTAGTTCCACTCCTTATAATTCTTCCGTTTCTCCCCGAATTTCGACGTTAAACTTGTTGCGCATGGTTCCGCGGATCAGGCCCAAAATTGCTGTTGACATTTTAGTGAAATTCAGAAAATGAGAGATCCTGGCTGAGCTCGTTAAGGTCTCTGAGAGGCCCGTGGGGACGTTCACCGAAAAAAGTCAAACTACGGCCTGTGGCGGCCAAACCGTGGGGCCGAGCGGCGCCAAAATGGCCTCAAAACGTAGCTGCGGGCGTCCTCTTACGGCCGATGTGCGCGCTTTTGACCTCGGCCTTATGGTGTTCTGGCTTTTGGGCCCATAGTCCAGACTTTCATGAACCTCTCCAATAGAATCTCAATGAAAGAATTTTGAGAAAATCTGATCAACTGCCAAATCGGCCCTCATTTTGCAATTGCCATAAAAATCTAACCGTTGCAAGGAGCCGAAAAAATAGACTGGCTGAGACCTGGGACCCTCGTGCCGCTCACGGTCGAAGAATTTCAGAATGGAGGCAGCGTTTCATCCAAACCAGTCCGTTGGGTCTGTGTCAGAGCTGCGGTTCAGTGATGAGTCACAGGTGTGGCAGTTTAGAATTTTGGCACCAGACAGCTGTTGCCGTGGCGATCAGCAGAGCTCTGTAGAGGATCCATATGCTCTGTGTGACTTTTTAAAGTAATACATTAGTTCTGTTACCAGGCGGGCGAAGCCCGCTTAGAGGGCTTTAGTCAGAGCCCGGTTCTGGTTCTGGTTCTGGGGATCGGACCCAACCGGGTCGGAACCGGACCGGGGCCATGTCATACCTCGTTGCGTAGGTCTTTTTCTCAGCTTTCAGCCAACGTGACCCGCGACCTGCCCACCCCATCCGCATTCGGTCAGCGGGCCCCAGAGCTCAGCCGGGTCCCTCCATCACTGCATCTCTCCCTCAGGCCCTCTCATAGGCGCGAGCCCACATTACAGAGAGCCCAAATATCGATTGGCCGACCTGTTCCCGGACGGGCAGCGGGTGGCCCCCCTCCAAAATTTCTTCAGAAATTTTCTAGTTAGGGGGGGCACTGCCTGCGGCATGGCCCACGTATTACTCTTCGAAATACTTATTCCGCTCCTTATTAGGGGGGCCACGCCTGCGGCATGGCCCACCGAAGATGGGGAACAATCGGCCATATTAGATGGGGAAGAAAGGGGGAGAATGGGGGAGAAGAAAAACGAGGGGGAAAAGGGAAAAAGGAAAAAAGAGAGAAAAGAAGAGAGAACCGAAAACATGCGGCCTTGTCCCTAAGTTTCATTGATTTATTAGCTCAAGAAAGAGTAGTTTTTAAAGTTACTGTAATTTTCAAGACTAGAACGGGATTCGAACCGGCGACTCTCGTAGGTGGTGCGTTCAAGGTGAACGAAATTCGAAACTGAGTCTGATCGTTAATAAACATTAACTTAATATTATCAATGTAATGGCTTAATATGAGCAGCCAATTATACACACAGTATGTTTAGTGGTGGCAAACAATAAAAAGTGAGCAAGAAAAAAGTTTTAAATATTCAATAAAAAGAGATTATTCATGCAAACTGAACACACAACATAGACATCACGGGGAATTAGCTCAAATGGTAGAGCGCTCGCTTAGCATGTGAGAGGTAGTGGGATCAATGCCCACATTCTCCAAAGACAGTCTTTGTATAGCTTATTGTCATAGTGATGAGAAATGTAATATTGTGTCTACTCTGTAAGTCGCTTTGGATAAAAGCGTCTGCCAAATGCATAAACAGATATAAACTTTAATTAAGAACTTAAATAAAAATGTATAACATTTACAGGCTTAAAAAGAATTTAAATGAGAGTTTAACATTCACTTACAACATAATTTACACAATTAACTCATCTTGAGAGCAATATGTTAGAAGAATTGATTTACATTACACTTATAGGCTCATACACTAATACTATTGTGTTATACTATACAACAATAAGTCAATTATTGTACTGTTTACAGTCTCTGTTGATTTTAAGTGTAGGTTGGCATATAAAATAAAGTTTTCCAATAACTAAATAAATCAATAGAATAGAGAAAACGGCATTACAGCAAAATACACATTAAATTACGTAGTGAAATCTATGCAATGAAATCGTAAACATGTCGACTGAGAAACAAAATACATTGCTCGCGTAAGCCGGCTGACGGCAACGACTGAAAGTTCCATCACTGAATGAATGAATGAATGAATGAATCTGGAAAACATCTTAATTCGACAGATTTCATAAACACAATATATATGCTTATGCGAGAGGGCACTGTTGAAATACGTTAACGTCCAAAACTACTGAATTAGCCGAATTCCGAGTCAAATAAAAGAGCCACAGATGCTAGCTGAATAATATCGCAATGACAACATGACACACGAAGAAAAGTTGCTTTTACATATTAGCAGAAATCACATAACACTGTCATTAATGTCTGAATACTCACATTTTTAAGCAAGACACAAGGATCAGGGCAATTCTTTGCTTTTTAAGAAAACCAGATGCGACGGCAAGTTCTATCCGACGCGTACTTGATGCACTGGCCGGGAATCGAACCCGGGTCAACTGCTTGGCAAGCAGCTATGCTCTCCACTATACCACCAATGCCTCTCCAGTGGCCATAAAGACACATATCGTCACAACAATAATACAATAATAATTTTACACAAGTTGAATCTGCATTGGTGCTGTTCCCCATCATGGACCAATGCCTACGTTGTTCAGAAGAATGGAAGACAAATGAGCAACAAGTGGCGTGATCACTGTAAAACCTCTATGCACCATCTAAGACACCGAGGGATTGTGAACAGAGACTGTCAATCCTAACTGTAGGCCTTCAGTTACACTGGTCCCTGAACAAGCCCCAGTCATTTCAGAAGACACAACATCTGTTACAGTTCAGTTTGAAAAGATAGAAATCTCTGATGTACACTGATATTGACAGAAATAAATGATGTGCGTTTTTAAACAGGAGAAGGAAACTGAATTCTTCTGAAGCAGTTTAACACTGAGTTTTTATTGAGTTGTTCTTTTGTTTAGTGACAAGGTTGCTAGCATAAACACACACAGTACTAATGTGCCTCAGTGACAGAGGTGATGGCAACCATCTGCCAGGCGTGAATTCTAATCTTATACTCCCCACCAACCAACTGAGAACAGAAGAAGCATTTTAGAAGACAGCTGAATTCTGATAAAGTAACAGGAATGAGAAAAAGGCTGTCAGCCGAAAAAGGTTTGTGCTTTTCACTTTTTGGGCATGAGAGTCTCTGTGGCGCAATCGGTCAGCGCGTTTGGCTGTTAACTGAAAGGTTGGTGGTTCAAGTCTACCCAGGGACGTCTTATTTTTGCACATAAGCAGCAAGTAAATGCAAAGCTGTTTCCACGTCTAGTTCTTACCCTTTTGGGTAACTGTGGGGCATTTAAACTAAAGATGGATGCAGGAGGCATTTGAACAGAACGTGAAATAACGGCCATTGTTGTGATTCAAGCCCTTTCCTTAGATTGGCCGTTAGTATATATATTATTCATTTATGTTATAATGTTATAATGTTTTGACTTGTCTGTATAGTGATGTCACTGTTTGGTGTCACTGTTGGAACTGATGGAACTCTGTCAATTGGGATGTCACTTTTTAACATCATTGTGGCCTTTGGGAATTCATTCAGTCTTTGGTTGAGTAGGGATCCTGATTTCTTTTTTATCCTGAGTGAGCACCCCCTTCTTCGCCACCTGCTTATAATTTACATGAAGTGCTTGTTGGAACCAGAATAAAAAACATCATACAATTTGGATATTTTTCAGGTATAAAATAACTGAATAAGTGACCAATGAATTGATGTGTCATCCGTCCCACATGCAGAGGAATTAGCAGAAGAGTTGTCCAGGATGAGATCTGAAGAGCTACCAAAAGGACTGATGGGACAAGCATGCAGCATAAGCTGGGGAACATTCGGCCATATTAGATGGGGAAGAAAGGGGGAGAAGAAAAGCCGTAAGCTGTAAGCCGGCTGAGGGCAACGACTGAAAGTTCCATCACTGAATGAATGAATGAATCGGGAAAACATCTTAATTCGACAGATTTCATACACACAATATATTTTGTGACAGCAAGTTCTATCCAACGCGTGCTTGATGCATTTCTTTTTTGTCCTGAGTGAACACCCCCTTCTTTGCCCCCTCCTTATAATCTACATGATGTGCTCGTTGGAACCAGAATAAAAAACATGATACAATTTGTGTATTTTTCAGATAAAAAATAACTGACCAATGAATTGAAAAGTCTGTATACTTGGAAGTCTGTGTTCTCTGCAGGCTCAGGTTAGAACCCAAAAAACGATTTTGTTTTCGAAACAAAACCATATTGGCCCCTCACTGTTGGTGGAAGTTTTATTGGTATCTGTGGCAGTCGTGCCACCGTGGGTGCCCGACAGAGTTCCCTTGAGACCACAGTTGTTCAAACAGGTTTTATTCGAGCGTGTGTGCGGCACCCGCACACACACTCTCTCACACAAGCACACACACTCACACGCCCGGCTAAGGCTCTTTGTGTTGTCGCCTGTTCCTGCTCGTTCAGAGCTGCTCGCTTGTCCTGCTCCAGCGCTCCTCCAAAACCAGTCCTCCCCAGGTCCAGCACGCTACTCTTTTTACAGAGGGGAGAGTGATTAGCCAACCGGTTCCAGGTGTGCCTAATCATCTCCCCTGGCACTGCTCACCTGAGCCTTCTCCACCCCTCCCCCCTGCAGCTGAGCACCACGCCCCCTCCACAGTATCCTATTAAACTTTATTTGGGGAAATGACAAGTAATGTTAACTATTCTTTTTGAAACAGCCATCAGTAGCTTTCTCAACTTCATCAGATGGATACTCTGTTTAATTCTCTTCAGATAATTGAACATTTGAACCGCTTTTTTGTCATGTTTATCCAGTGTTTTTCCATCCATCCATCCATTGTCCACCGCTTATCCGGGGTCGGGTCGCGGGGGCAGCAGCCGGAGCAGGGAAACCCAGACTTCCCTCTCCCCGGCCACTTCAGCCAGCTCCTCCGGGAGAGTCCCGAGGCGTTCCCAGGCCAGCCGGGACACATAGTCCCTCCAACGGGTCCTGGGTCTTCCTCTGGGCCTTCTCCCGGTGGGACGAGCCCGGAACACCTCCCCAGGGAGGCGTCCAGGAGGGATCCTGAACAGATGCCCGAGCCACCTCAGCTGGCTCTTCTCCACGTGGAGGAGCAGCGGCTCTACTCTGAGCCCCTCCCGGATGGCCGAGCTTCTCACCCTATCTCTAAGGGAGAGCCCAGCCACCCTGCGGAGGAAACTCATTTCGGCCGCTTGTATCCGCGATCTCGTTCTTTCAGTCACTACCCAAAGCTCGTGACCATAGACGAGGGTGGGAACGTAGATCGACCGATAAATTGAGAGCTTCGCCTTTAGGCTCAGCTCTCTCTTCATCACGACAGACCGGTACAGCGCCCGCATTACTGCAGACGCCGCACCGATCCGCCTATCGATCTCACGCTCCCTACCCCCATTCGCGAACAGGACCCCAAGATACTTGAACTCCTCCACTTGGGGAAGGACGTCCGCTCCAACCCGAAGAAGGCACTCTACCCTTTTCCGGTGAGAGACCATGGTCTCGGACTTGGAGGCACTGATCCTCATCCCAGCTGCTTTGCACTCGGCTGCGAACCGCTCCAGCGCGAGCTGTAGGTCCCGACTTGATGAAGCCAACAGGACCACATCATCTGCAAAAAGCAGAGATGCGATCCTAAGGCCACCAAGACTGATACCCTCAACACATCGGCTGCGCCTAGAAATCCTGTCCATAAAAGGTATGAACAGGACCGGAGACATAGGGCAGCCTTGGCGGAGTCCAACTCCCACCGGAAACGAGTCCGACTTACTACCGGCAATGCGAACCAGACTCTGACTCCGGTCGTACAGGGACCGAACAGCCCTTAGCAAAGGGCCAGGTACCCCATACTCCCGGAGCACCCCCCACAGGATACCCCGAGGGACACGGTCGAAAGCCTTCTCCAAGTCCACAAAACACATGTGGACTGGTTGAGCGAACTCCCACGCACCCTCTAGGACCCCGCTGAGGGTATAGAGCTGGTCCAGCGTTCCACGGCCAGGACGAAAACCACTCTGCTCTTCCTCGATCCGAGGTTCGACTATCCGACGGACCCTCCTCTCCAGAACCGCTGAATAGACCTTCCCAGGGAGGCTTAAGAGTGTGATCCCCCTGTATTTGGAACACACCCTTCGGTTCCCCTTTTTAAATAGGGGGACCACCACCCCAGTCTGCTAATCCAGCAGAACTGCCCCTGATGTCCACGCGATGTTGCAGATTCGCGTTAGCCAACGCAGCCCCACAACATCCAAAGCCTTGAGGAACTCCGGCCGAATCTCAGTCCGGGATTTGAACCCGGGACCTCTCGCACCCTAAGCGAGAATCATACTCCTAGACCAACGAGCCACTCTCTTCACTCCACCGAAATCACCACAGAAGGGAGTCTGCAGAAGCCTGACAGGGAGAGATGATGTCAGCTGCTCAACACAAGCAGAAGAAGAGCCTCATCACCATGTCAGTGACTGTTTATCATCAACAACAGCACTTTATGGTGGACACAGAGATCCTAGGCCATAGGCTGAAGCCTGTATCGTTAAGTTTCGCTCCACTTATTGAGGGACTACTAAATGACACCTGCAAAAAAATCCGTGCATTTTGAGCTCATAACCAAAAGTTCTCCAATCGCTTTGCGCCAGTATTTTTACAATAATTACTTAAAAATGTAACTATATCGGTAGCCTGATCACACCGGTAAAGTACGCTCGAATCAAGCCGCCTAGCCGTTAGCCAATCAGAGCGCGTCCTTCAGGTGCGCTCTCCCATTCAGAGGCGAGAACAGAAGAACAACAACAAACATGGCTGCTCCCATGGAGCTGCGCGTTCCCGTTGATCAGACAAAAAACGCAAGAAAAATGAGGATTATATATGCATCACACACATATAATCGGTAGACAAAGAACGGACACAGCCACTAACAGTTGTTCGTGGAAGAAGCTGGTCGTATGTGCCCGTAAGTGTATGGACGGAGTTGACCGCACGTTGGCGGAGGGACACAAGACAAAGAAAGGTAAATTGGTCCAAGCAGAAACTATAAATGCTGGTGATTACATAATTTGGAGACAGCATCTTTGTTTGTGGCTTATAATCAAAAGCTAAAGTAATACATTTGTTGGTAAAAAAAATGCATGTGTAATTGGTGCCAGCCCTAGCCTTCTCATATTATTATGAAGTAGGTGTATGAAGGCTATGTGTAGGGCCTCAATAATAATAAAAGGCATTATTATGAATTTGAAGTGATGATAGGCAATTCATTGATTTGTCAAAGAATGGTTAGATTTTAAATTTGTCACCCAACTACCAGTTCAGTCTGGTAAAAGAGAGAAAATGTATTTGATATTATTTGTTGGCAGCTGGTTTATGATTGAACTTTAACTCTCTCTTTGCTAGGGAGTTTGGTTAATGCAGCTGAAGTGAAAATGGACGAATCCATCCTCAAGGATGTACGTGGAAAAGATTGTGTCGCAATTGAAGTCCGGTAGCACAAACGGTGCTACAAAGAAAGTTAAATTCAATTCAATTTTATGTATATTGATACTAATGATAATGATAGGAGTTATGACAGAAATAACACTATGCAGAGTAGTAGCAGAGCAGGAACACGGGGCAGCAGGAAACTCCCAGTCACAGATCCAGACTCCACAGCTCTAGGAACACCTGCAGGAAGTGATAGGAGGAGACTCCTATCCCTCCTATGATTTTGATGATTCATAGTTTCTGTGTGTTTTCTATTGTAATTCTCAAGTCGTAACAACCCGAAGTGATCCTAAAAAGTTTAACATCTCAAGGCTTGCTGGGTCCAACAAAAGTAATTGTTTAAAAACAGAAACGTCTTTGTGCCTTCTTTAATTCCCTGTACATTTCCATATTATGTCTTGCCTCAGAGGAGTGAATTCACAACCCACGGGTTAGCTGATTGAAACCATTTCATTTCTGAAAACCAATTTGAATATTTGTCCATAGTAAACTGAATTGTGTAGTAAATGTGAAAAAAACAATCTTGTAGCTTATAAATAAGAGTTCATTTTTTAATGTTGTGATATTAATACTTTCCATTGTTCTTATAAATAATCAATAATTATGATTATTATTATTCCTATTGTTATGAGGCATCTGAAAACTTTACCCCTTTTCAAAATCATGTTATCATTGCTATTGCCATTTGTCAATAGTTACAGAGTGGAGATTTATAAATGGTTAGAATCGGTCTTTATAATTATATATGTACATGTATAAAATTTGGGAGATATCAACTTTGGCATGCTTAGTGCTTGGTAGAATTGTTCAAAAGTAATTGAAAAATTATATGTAGGCTTCTTATTCTCTTTCAGTTTTTCTGAAGATGATTAATTCTCTCTGTAAATATTCATAAATGTTGCAACAAACAGAAGAAGTAACTCTTGTCGGTGTGGGAATGGAGTGGTGGTGGTGGTGGTGGTGGGGGGGG